ATAAGACTGCTCGAGATCTAAATTGTCTGTTTGGAGATAGACGTGGGCTGTTGAAGGCAGATTTCCTCTTTCTGTCCCCCCTGATGGAGTGCTGGCCCCAGGGGAGGTCAGGAGGGTGTGGAGCGCGGACGGCCGCGTCAATAAACTCAATAAACGTCCCGTAACGGTTGTCATGCTGCTCATTTGAGCCACGTTGATCACATCTGCTCCCCAGCCCCACCTCTTCACTCACAAACACACACACTTGCTTTAGCACCTTGCCTGGACATGTCAGACACATACAGACCTATATGGCTATGTATACAGTCATATGCAGAAGTTTTAACATCACCTGTCATATCACATATTTTGGTGATTTTCTTCAGTCAACATACCCTCTACAGTATATATATATATATATATATATATATATATATATATATATATATAGTATATATATATATATATATATATAGTATATATATAGTATACATGAGGAGTGGATGATAGACTTGCAGAAATGTGTTTATATACAGTTTTCTATGACATTGGCACTTTATTAATTAATATATTAATACATACATTAATCTTTGATAAATTAAAAGTAACAAATGTTTTGTCTTTCTCCTGTAAAGTTCATTTTTGGAGGTATTATGTTTTATCCTAACAGCAAAAAATAGTCTTCTAGTTTAAAACAAATAAAACATGAAGCTAATCTCTTTTCCTCTGATATTCCTACAGTCACACCGTTGTTTTGTCCTGAAAATACTTAAACAAACACACAACCACGGCAGCAGCAGCACTGTTGACTAATGAGCAGGTGTAATTGTAGCACGCAAGCTGGCGTATCCATCACTCCATGACAGGCTCCTGCTACTTGAATGAATTCATGAATTTGCATTAGGTCAGATGTTTCTGCACAATGCCGGAAGGCAGAAGCAGGCATTCTAATTCAGCCGAAACACAAAGGCAGCACAACCTTTTCATCGTATTAATATAAGAATTGCAGATAATTGTGATTAATTACAGCAGGTGAGGGTGTACGGCCCACCGCTCTGCAGGGAAATCCATTTGTGACTGGTGTCCAACAGCAATAAGTAGGTTCTTCAGGGTGAAGCTCAGCGGTAATACAATCTCTATTAGCTTTATGCAAATGTGCCTGTGCTAGAGGCCACACTGAAGAGTGTGTGTGTGTGCCTGGAGGCCCGCCTGCACACAGATGTGAGAATAAAGGCTTCTTTTCAGTTGTCTTGCTCGGGTGGCTTTTAAAAAGCACATTAATAAAACATAAGTATTGAGTAAGTGGCCCGTGCAGCAGCTCTCTTAATAACAGCAGCTGAAACCAGCCGCACGGCCTTTGACCCGGTTCAGGTGTGCCATACACACAGTGCTTCTTCTAGCCGCGCTTCTCGCTGCTAAATGACTTCTTTTCATTCAAACCGCACCTGCTCTGCTGGACCGAACACTGTGGAGACGCAAGGACTTGGTTAATTTTAGTTAAAGGAATTTACTCAGTATTCCACTTTTATCCCAAATCAGTCCAGATATCTTTGCCGTCTTTCTTCTTTAGCTTACTTCAGACTTGTTTATGTGCTTTCTGACACTGTATGACATACTTTTATCTATAAAACTGGACAAAAATACAGACAAAATTCTTTAAGATGCTTCCAGGCTGCTGAGTTTAGCTATGCTAACATACTTAAGTCCATATTTATATATATCAGTGAGTCATACAGTGTAAGAAACCACATGATCAACTCTACTAGAGATACTGATCAGCTACACACAGTTTGTAATGATTTAAGCTTGGCGGCCACCAACTTCCACTACTTGTTAGCTAGCATTAGCCTCGTAGTCCCAGTGAAAAACTAAAGAAGCAAACTTCAGACACCAAAAACGACTTGGCTGATTGATTACATCTGAGGTAAGAAGGAAATTCTCCATGATTTTTGGTTGAACTGTCGCAATAACGTTAAAAATTAGCCATTCAGTACTCCTGAGTTCATGTTGTCACTGTTTATAGACGTTTATTTACAGTATATTACATTGTTTGTGCTTTAAATTTTTTTCTTGAGGTCAATTTATAATGTTTATGTGCCTTTATGTACCAAAAAACAGTCATAATTCATTTTAACATGACCAATTTTTCACCTCAATGTATACTTTAGAATTAAACAGGCTGATTTTGTTGCTGTGTGTGTTACTGTGCCTTTAAAAGTGATTATATATTATATATATAAATGGGGGTGGCTGCCTTGAACCACTCTGTGCTGAAACACCTCTTATAACTTCAGCCTGAGTGGGCGGGGCTAAAGCGCTGTAGGCCGAATTGGTGGATGTAAATAAATGTGTTGGTTCACGACCCAACAAAAACATTAAATTCAAAACAGGCTGTTTTTGCACCTTAGTTTCCTTACATGGACTGTATGGAGTCGGGAGTGAATGGCATATTTTGACAGTGTTTGCATAAAACTCTTATTTTGAAAAAAATGCCTTTATAATATGTGGTTCTTCTAGAATTAGTTACAAATATTAATGAGCGACAAAGACACACTCGCATCCAGTTACAACACTGTTAAGTATATGTCGTGTACAGATACGGCATTTCCGGACAGTGTGATCAGACCCGAACATGCTTTTTTTGTTGGAAACTTCAGAAGCAGCGAGTATTTTTAGTCTGGATGTCTTGGCTGCCAAATGGAGCAAAATATAGCTTCTTCTCTCTGCCCTGCATGCCTTTCTCCTCAGCCTCTGGTATTATGCGTAAGTATGATGTGCAAAAAATCAACACCAAATTAGCAGGCTTTGAAGCAACTTCAGCAGAAAAAAATGCAAACATGAGGATAGTCAGCTGCAGGCTTGTGGATTTGAGGCCCCTCCAGTCTGTCCCCACCCAGTCCATCTGTTTACTGCTGAGGAGCAAACAGCCGCTCCAACCAGCACCCAAAACCCTCACTAGCGAGCTGTGCGCTGCAGCTAAGCCTGCTTTGAAAGCCAAACTAGTGGCTGTTTTTAGCCTTACTACAGTGAAGCCTTCCTATTATAGGAACAGTCTGGAAAACAATCAAACTTACACAGTTTTCTCAAAGCATTTATCTACAAAAATAGACAAAAGTACAGACAAAATTCAAGATTTGTAACAGCAGCTATTTTAGCTCCGATAGGTACTTTTGTTCTGGTCAGAAACCACATGAGTCAGTCTTGAGATCACTTAACAACAAGGTTTGAAGCAAGTGTGATGACTAGGCATGAACTTAGCATGACTTCCATTACTTGTTAGCTACATTAGCCTCAGTTCCAGTGCTAAAACTAAAGAATTAAACTTAAAACACCAAAACATATCAGCTGAGTGGCTACATTTAGCATAAGAAAGCACTTAAATTTGATATTTTCAGCAGACTGTATCTCAAACACAACTGAGCTCCATGGAAGTGTTAGCCAGACTTTGTTCAGGATGTTTACAGATGCAAATGAGATCCTTTTAAGACTTTCGAGAACTAGTTTTGAAAGACCGGTTCTGGATCTTCTCCAGAGTCCTACCACCCCGCCCTGAAAAACAGCTTCTGTGAGGAGCAATTCAAGCTAAGGGAACTGTGTCAAAACGCCATGCTAAGTCATGCTAAGTATCTGTGCTCTTCTGCCTTTTCCTTCAGAGAAAGGACTGCACGTTTGAGGACACCTTGGCTTCTTCTATAAAATTTCCAGACTAATGTTTGTTTTTCACAGCAACTTTTCCAGTAAAATTACATTTTAAAAATGTTTTAGGAGGCATAAAGCTGCTATGTGCTAATCTTTTGGTAAAATTAGCGTCAACACTCTGTGTTTATTATTTCCCTTGGTATGAAGAGTAAGTTTTAAATGATTTGACTGAATGAGCTTTCTTTTTTCAAGCAAGTGTTAAAAGCACATATTGACTCAAAAAAAGGTTTAAACTGTAATGTTTGAGTGCTGTTGAGTGCTGACATCACAACAGGTAAGGCTTTGTGTATCAGTTTCTTCAGTTTAGCAGCTGTTTTCATGATTGCAAACGGAGTGCTGTTTCTACTCCAACCATGGACAGGACAGCACGCACTAACCTGAGCCTAACTCTGCTGTACGTTTCTGAGAGCGTGTGGGCCTTGACTGAAGCTTCTGCTCTGTAATTAGGCCTCCTGCATTCCTTCAGACTCTATTTACTGACTTCTCCTCTTTATTTGACACCAGACAGCCCTCATTAGGACCAGGTATCTTTCATTAACCTCCAAATTTATCCTTTTTTGTGACATGTGAAAGGTTTTTCAACCCTCATGTTTGATCTAAGGGGCAAAAAAGTGTCTGAGTGTCACTTAAACGCTCAGATGTGGAACATGTCTCTTTCCATGCTCATAAATTTTTTACAAGTTACTGCGCATTGCATCACCCGTAAGGCTACAGTTTCCTCACTTTACATAGTTTAACAAAGTTCCTCTGTTTATCTCAGTAGGGTCAGCTGTTGTTAAGAGCTGTCTCATATAGTTGTTTTGCATTTTTTATGTCCTATGTAACTTGGCTAGACTTGTTTTTGTTACAACTACACATAACTTTAGAGCTTCGTAAAAGCTATTTAATTCTTCTCTGTAATTACATAATTTCTCAATGCTGTTGTTGTGTTTGATATGTAAAAAAAAGTGACCTAATAATGCCAAAATATTTGTAGATTTCCATTTAGATTGTCTTACAAACTACCATTTTGAACAGGAAAATGCATGAACAGGAATATGAGTCACACATCTGATGCTATTTATTATTATTCTGATATCAGCTTTCATATTACTGATATTGCAAATCCCTGCAAAATGCAAATGAGGCTCTATCCAATCACTGAAAGTGTTGTGAGCATCCGGACCAATCACAGATGTTCTCTGGGTTTTTCACATGATCCAACAAACATAAATAATTTTGTTCAATATAATGTAGTCACATCAAGATGCAGAAATATAATCACCCATTTTTTGCCTATTTCGTACAATCATGATTCGTATGTTATCTGAGCTGCTACTTACCAAACAGAGCATCTCTTCACATTCAGGATGATAGATATTTCCATGTGCTGACGAACGCAGTGGGGATGAGGGAGTACGGGACGCTAGTGATGCTGTCCCAAGTGTCTGTAGATGGGTCGTAACAGTCCAGGGTTTTGCACCTTTGTGCCCCAAAGTAACCCCCTACAACATAAAGCCGGTTTCCAGAGGCCACAGCATGGCAGCTGATCCTCTTGGCCGTCACATCGCCAAATTTAGTCCACTGGTAGGTCTCACTGTTGAATCGATAAGCAGAGCTAGCCGAGAATTCGGTATCTCCTCCAATGACCACAACCTGATTTCCAACCACAGCTGCAGCTGTATAGCGCCAGAGCTGAGGGCAGGAGGCTGGTACCGTCCATCTGTTTTCACAGGGGTCAAAGCACTGCACTTTGGGATACTTATCTCTATTCACGCTAGTGCCTCCAAAAGCGAAGAGTTTGTTCTTGGCTCCCACGACAGCAGCGTTGCTGACGCCTTCTCGAAGAGGGGCTACTAACGTCCATTTGTTGGACTGTGGGTTGTACTGTTCAACCTGTTTGAGTGACACGGATGGAGAGGCTGGAAAAGACCCTGCGAGAGATGTGTGGCCACCTACCACATACAAGACATGGTCCAATTCGGCTGAGCCATGGCCAAATCTGGCTACAAGCATTGGCGCAGCTTTGGACCACTCGTCATGCAAGGTATCGTAGACCCAGACATCTTTGGAAGCTCCGTTTTCTGACCCTCTACCTCCTGTAACATAAACCTTGCAGCCAATAGCGCAGGCACTGCACTCTTTACGAGGACTCGGAAGGTCCGTTTTGAGGGTAATCTCCTTCGTCTTGTGGTCAATCATGTAGATTTTATCACACATGAAGGTCTGGCCTCCCAGAAGCAAGAGAGCCTGACTGATCTTCCTCGGCCTGGCGCAGAAACCTGTGACTACGCCATCGTTCTGAAGGATTTTCATCTTGCATCTCACGGCATCTTCCACAATCTCTCGACCAACCTTGTCTCCCATCACCATTTCTTCAGAAACCACGTTCTTGAGCAGGTAAGTCTCTGGGAGCAAGGCTAATCGCACACAGCGGAGAAGCTCAGGCAAGTCACCGAGTCTTCTTTCCATGTCCGCTTTGACCCAGTCTATGACAGCTTCGTACACTACACTCTCGTCCTCCACCTCCAGTTCCTCACTGAAGATCAAATCTTGGACCTTGTCTTTCGGCAAGTTTAGGAAGTCCTCCGTCCTGTAGAGGGTGGCAAAATTAGCAAGGCACATGCGCCAGGACAGCTCGTACAGCCTCTGGCATTGATGAGCATCCGAAAGCAGCATCATTCCGAGGCAGTTTGAAGGGTGCAGGTTCTTCTCAAGGAACTCCGCAGAGGCATCCCGGATATCATGGAACTGCAGCATGTCGCCCGCCTCTAGCAGGGACTCAGCATTTTCCTCGTTTATGATGATTCGGGCCGAGTAAGCATAGTCCAGAAGGAGCTCCAGAACCTCTGGGTGCAAAGAGTCATGGAAGTTAACCTCAGCGTCCCGGCTCTCTTTGAGGCCTCCATTAAACATGGCCTCAAAGTAGCGGCTGCAGGAGGCCAGGACGGCCCTGTGGCACGGAAAGGCCCTGTTTCCAGCCCGCAAAACAACATCCGTAAACACACGGCGCTTGCGGAGAAGGTTGAGTTGCGTTAGCAGGCTGTCTGCGTGGGACGTTTTGTGGAACAGGTGGATGTTCATGGATCCAGAGCTTGACCTGGACTTACGGTTTTCGTGGCTGCTCACTGACATCTTGGACCTAGAGCTGAATGAATACATCAAAATCAGAATCTGACTAATCTGCATATTCATTAGCCCCTTTAAATTTAGACTTATTATTGTTGCTCAATTATTAGTCTTTATTCAGTGACTACAGTTTTAGAAACAGGGGCACCAGAAAGAGTTACTGTGGTATGCCAAGCATCGTTTTTGTAAATGAGATGTGTGAATCTGAAGAAACTTTTTAAAGTTTAAAAAAACTTCCACATAACGTAAAGGTTCCCTGAAAATTGGTAAAGAACGTTTACATTATGTGAAGGTTCTTCACACTCACAAATCCCCTTTACAAACATTCTTTAGGGAACCCAAAGTGATTCTTCTCCCGCATCCCTCGAAGAACCATTTGTAGCACCACTTTATTTCAAAGAGTGTCCTACAAAATATTTGGTAAATTTGGTAAGAAATGATCTTTAAGTTATCTAGCAATGGCAAAAAGGAACTCTTTAAAGTTAACCCCTATAATTCCTCTCTCTCATAACTACAGAACTTACACACAAGTGTTAGTTTCATAGTAGTTACTGAGTAATAAGCCTTACGCTTAATAACAGAATAATAAGACAAGGGTCAACACGTATTAACAAGTCTCTGTGTTTTGTTTCAACATGCTACATAACTTACATCCATATATAGCACCTTCGACTACACAGCTTAATCAATAACACACAAGCATTTTATAATGTCCTTTATCATTAGAAACACCTTCCAACACTCTAAAAGAAATGGTTGTTTATTTTAAATCTAATACAAAAATGATGGGAAAGGTGAAAATTTCTCAAAATTTTAGCATAATTCAGTTATTAACATGTAAACAAAGTCGTTCAGAGTGGTTTGGTGTTAAATACTACATTCTAGAGAAACTTACCGAGTCAGAACTGTTCACAGTGGTGGTGATAGGAACCAGGCGTCCACCTCTAAAAGCTCCCTTACAGAAAGTTATTCGATGAAATGGTTATGAATTCACTGCCTGATGACTGAGATGTTGTTTTACGATAGTTTTGAGAAGGTTTTGGCCTAAAATGTATTCTCAGAATACACATGTAGGTTCACTGGTGGCTTTGGTTAGTAAATAAACTGGCTATAATTAGTGCTGTAGATGTTAGGACTCCGGGTTCCTATCACCACCACTGTAAAGAAATCAGTAAGTTACTCCACAGTGAACCATTTCGCTCCAAACCAAACTCTGAATGACTCTGAACAAGCGAACTATGCAGAAACTTTGAAAACTTGTGGAATTCCTCTTTAAATGGACCAAATGTACCAAAATGAAACCAAACTGACACATACGTGCCCCTTTTAAGTCTGCAGTAACGTATTTCTGCACAAATGCCTGGGTGTGTGCCTGTGATTAATACAGCACAGTTCCCTTTCTAGACACTTCAGGTTAATGATTTCCTCATCTAGCACCATATATACTATATAGAACCATTTTCAAAAATATATACACATTCTCCATCAATTTAAAGCACCATTTCACCACGCAAAGAACACTTTGAGCATGCAAATGGTTCTATGTAGAGCTCGTGGTTCTCTTTACTAAAGAACTCCTGAAGAATCATCTTTTTTAAGAGTGGCCAGCACAGCGGTGTCTCATACAGCATTAACAGTGTTAACATGCTGATTTTATTACATCTTTGTGCTTGTAAAGCCTATTTCTTTCATCTAAATACAGACTTCAGACAAACTTTTAACTTGGTAAACTCAGAGCATTAACTTCTTTCTGCGTAAATGTCAACTGCCAGTCCTGTCTGGGTGTGCACCTGTAATTAATACGGCACAATTCCCTTTCTAGACTCTCCAGGTTAATGATTTCTGCTTTATGATTCATACATCCTCTCTGATAACGCCTGCCAGAACTGAAAGTCGAGAAGATTCACATCTGCAACTGGCTAAACTTACAGCAAAGCTGAGACTCTGCTGCTGAACAAATGTTATGATACAACTTAAACTTGATTTTATTTCAACTTTCAGACATTTTGTTACACATTTAATAAGTTTATAGATTCACTGAGCGCATGGCGGGATCACACACTGTCAACAACTTTTAAAACACACTAAGAGATTTTAAACTTTACACATTCAAAGAAACAGTGAATTGGTAGAGCAGCACATTGTTGACTATTATAGTTGGTGTTAAAAAGCTGAGTAAGTTTCAATATAATACCTCATAATTCAACAGAATACAATATAATACAACTTAAAATGTTTAAAAAACTTTATTAAAAAGGATTAAAAAGATTTTAAATTATATATTTATTTAAGCAAGCAAAGCACGTGGTACACTCTTAAAGAACATTGTTCTTCAGGGGTCTTTATTAAAGAAAATGGTTCTATATAGAACCATGAACACTCAAAGAACCTTTTGCATGGTTCTTTGCTTCGTGAAAGGGTTCTTCAGTTTGATGGGGAATGAGCTGTGTTTGAAAAGGGTTCTATATAGCACCGAAAAGGGTTCTGCTATTGTAACAAGCCTGACATCGTAACAATAAAAGAACCCTTCACAAAAAGGTTCTATATAGAACCATCTACAGAACATTCTCCATCAACCTGAAGAACCATTTCACAATGCATTTAATGCAATTAATCATGCAAAGAGTTCTTCATGGTTCTAAATAGAACCATTTTCTTTACTAAAGAACCCTTTAAGAACCATCATGTGGTACACTCTTAAAAAAAAGATGCTTCTTCAAGGGTTCTTTAGTAAAGAGGATGCATGGTGAAATGTTCCTCAGACTGATGGAGAATGTGCTGTATATGATTCTATATAGAACCTTTTTGAAAATGGTTCTACATAACAACAAAAATTGTTCTACTGTTACAAACTTGACATTGTAAAAATAGCAGAACGCTTTTTGGTGCCATAGAGGACCATTTTCAAAAATATACACACATTTTTCATCAATCTGAAGAACCATTTCAGTGTGCAAAAGCTTGTGGTTCTCTTTACTAAAGAACTCCTGAAGAATCATCTATTTTAAGAGTGTAGGGCAGCACAGTGGTGTCTCACACAGCATTAACAGTGCTAAAAAAGCTGATTTTAGTACATCTTCGTGCCTGTAAAGTCTATTCCTTTAATCTAAACACAGAGAACTTTTAACTGAGTGAACTCTGAGCCCAGAGATCCCAGCAGCACGAACAAGCTCTTACCTTCTGCTCTCCTGACCGCAGGAAGAAGTGGGCAGTTCTCTTTTAAACTCTTTTATTTCCTCAGATTTTCTCCTCTGAAAACGACCAGAAGTCACATGTCTTGTTTGCTGTGACGGTGAACAGCTTTAGACCCCGTTTGTAAGACATTAACTCCCCGTCCACTGAGCTGAGACTGTGAGTGAGCGAGAGCTTTGCTCGGTTTCACTGTAAAGGCTCCGCCTCCCAGTGTAGCTGCAGGGCCTCTCTCATGAATATGCAAATATTCAACGTCGACGGCGACAGAGGGGGCGTGGTCTGGACAATGAAGAGTAAAGCTAGGTAAAACGACGCCAAAGCATGATTGAAGTGCACGATTATGACAGACTTATTATGACAGACTTATTATGACAGACTCAAAGGGCCCATATCCTCCACTTTCCTCCTATTTTATTCTTTAAACCTTTAAGTCCACTTACGAAGTCTCATATATACAATGCACAAGTTTTAGGCAAGTGAGAAAAACTCTCAGAAAAACACTAATAATAGAATAAATACAAATAACACTAACACAGTAAGTAGTGATTTTAATAAATAATTACTAACAACTAATTAAACAAATCCACGCCATGGCTGGAGGCGTCCAGGAGAAATCTGGAGATAAATAACGTTGTTCAGTCAGACTATACATATGTGTGTGTGTGTGTGTGTGTGTGTGTGTGTGTGTGTGTGTGCGCATGTAAATACAATACATATATATGATTATATGATTTATTAATACCTTAAAAAAAATAAAAATGCATTTCGCAGTAGTCAGCTGTTTTTCTTTTCAATACCCGTTATGCTCAAGATTGATACACACACACACACACATATATGTATGTGTGTGTGTGTGTGTGTGTGTGTATAAAGGGGAGAGAAGGTTACAATTCTTTTTTTTTTAATTATCATTTTCTAATCTGTCTTTACCCCTTTAAACAGGGGTGCCAGGGGGCCGTTTGCTTTTGGGGGCCCTGAGGGTCTTTATGATGGGCCGAGGGGCAAAAAGGCAAAACAACATAATGATTAAAAAAAGGCAGGTAGGTTTATAAAATGTATTTTATAACATTATGAAATATAGCATTTAATAAATTACAAATGGTATTAAATCGTTTTTGGGTCTGGGCGTAGGATTAGGGCTCAAACATCTTCACAGGCTCACTTTGGCATGTGGGCAGCCCTTTACGACTGATATATGTAATCGAGCTCTGTCCTGATTGGCTGTCTTCTATTGTGTCTGGTTCAAAAAGCAGTCTGAGCTGAAACATTGCTTATAGCTTCAGTGTGAATGGGGCGGGGCTAAACTGCTGTAGGCTGAACAGGTGGATAAATGTAAATATGTTGGTTTTTGTGACATCACAAAAACAACGATTAAAAATTAGCTGTTTTTTTGCAGTTTAGTGTCCATATACGGACTGTATGGAATGGGCAGTGAATGGTACATTTTTAAATTTTGCAGTTTCGTCACAGGAAACAGTAAAATATTAAAAATGTTTGTATGACACTAAACGTGAGTGTTATATTAAACATCCAGCAAAGCTTGAATGAGAAATGGAAGGTATAAATATGATAAAAACCCAGCTTAAAAAATACTAATCAGGCCTATCTGAGAACTGTGTGGGCGTGGCTAATGAGCAGATTGATTGACAGCTGTCTGTCCAACACTCCTAGCCTGCTCCGCCTCTCATACAGAACTAAAATCATTCTCCAGCTTTTATGTGACGCTAACTGGACGAAAAAAAGTCACAGATAAACGGACGTGCAGACGGACGAACAAATGGACGGATGAAGCAACGCGTGAATGAAGGAACAAACGAGTGAACAATGTTGGCGTTGATAAACGAGTCAACGGGCTACAGTTAGTTAGCTAAGCTTCTCTGACTCTTAAACTGTTCTGTGTGGGCGGGGCCAGAGACGCAGCCTTTTGATTGGTCAGGGGAATGCTTACGGAAGTGCTACCCAAAATTAGGACCCAGTTTACATGAAGAGGAGAGAAATATGGTCAAATACTTCGGTCATTTATTGGTCATTGGAACATTATTTAAAGGGTAAACTTAGTACATGTTTACTGTTCGCCTGCAAGAACAGGATTAACCTAATTAGTAAGAAAAACAGGTTTAGGTTCCCTGGGTCAGTATGCTTATGAGCTTATTTTATGACCATCTGCGCTCAAAAACATATTGTTTGAGTGGTCAACACCTCTTAAATGGCTCATTGTAATAATATGGACTGATATTTGCTTCCAATTTGTTACCACTGCACCTTTTTTCCATTGAAAACATCCTCAGTGAGTGGTGAAAGGTGCAGCACTGAATATGAGCTTATTTTGTGACATCACAAAGTGCACGGCCTGCTCATCGAGCATTTCATCCGGGTGTTAATGGGGAGTTTGTCCTCCTTTGCTGCAGTAACAGCCTCTACTCTACTGGGAAGGCTCTACACTACACACCTAAAAATGATTAAATTATTGGGTTCCTTAGTAAAGACAATGGCTCTATATAGCACCATGAAGCTATATCAATATATGCATATTACAAGCTTCACATCATAATAGATGATTAATAATAGATCCTTTTTGGTTCCATATAGAACCATCTACAGCACATTCTCCGTCAATCTGAAGAACCATTTCACCAGGCAAAGAACCCTTTAATCATGCAAAGGGTTCTTTGAGTGTTCATGGTTCTATATAGAAGCATTTCCTTTACTAAAGGACACTTCAAGAACCATCATTTTTAAGTGCGTAGATGTTGGAACATTGCTGTGAAGATTTGATTGCATTCAGCCACAAGAGTGTTGGTGAGGCCGTCCCTCACAGTTAACAATGAGGAAATCAGTCCAAATGTAAACGTTTTCAAATCCTCGCAGATGAATGTTCACATAAATTATGTTAATGCGATTAATCAGGCGTGAGTATTATTGTGTACATCAGTCGTGCCTTCTGCTCCTTTTCTATTGTGCTCTTATGTAATCGAGGCCGTATGGGAGCTCATATTATATGACTGACTAGCTACAGTGAATTAGCAGCCATGCGCATAGAAGCCATAATAACAGTAACGTCTGCATGTCTGCCTAATACAGTTATGAGTTCAGTTGAAAAACCGCTACTTTCTCAGCAGACTGACCTACATACTGACCACATCCGTTAGTGTCTGAAACTCAGTGATCTACCACCATCAGCTTATATTAGCTAGCAGTGAGGCAGGCTGTGGTCACTATTAACCAGCCCTTCAGCTTCAGCTCTAACATATTTTAGTGTATTGGAGTGATGGAGCCCCATCCAATACCTTTGGGATGAGTTGGAGTGATCCAGAACTGACCATCCAACAGTACCTGACCTCACTAATGCTCAATCAGATCCACACAACAATGTTCCAACATCTAGTGTAAAGACTTCCCAGTAGAGTAGAGGCTGTTACTGCAGCAAAGTGGGGATAAACTCCCGGATGAAATGCTCGATGAGCAGGCCGTGCACTTTGTGATGTCACAAAATAAGTTCATGTGCAGTGCTGCACCTTTCACCACTCACTGAGGATGTTTTCAATGGATAAAATGTGCTCTGGTAGCAAATTTGAGGCAAATATTCATCCATATTATCACAGTAAACCATTCAAAAGGAGTTGACCACTCAAACAATACCTTTTCGAGTGCAGAAGGTCTTTAAACAGCTCTCTGCTTCAGTAGCAGCTTCTGCAAATGCCCAAACCTTTACATTTTTAATGACCAAGACACCATTTAAATATTTACCACGTGTTTTTGAATATTTACTACCAAAAAAAACAACTTTGGATTGCTCTGTTTTTCTGGACTGAGAAGATACTGCTTTACTGTTATTGACTAATCACTGGTTTAATATAGCTGTCATGTTTGTGGTGAAACAGCGCCCCCTGCTGTATTAGGACCGAAAACTACAGCCCGTTTTACTTTATAGAGCGTGGCAACAGATAAAGAAGCACAAATATCAGTTTTAACAGAAACTGAAAAGAGGAGAAAGGAGTATTCTTATAAAAAAAGATGAGATATTGTTTTTCTTTGGATTAGGTGCAAAATTAGGGTCATATTTTGGAAGTTCCATTTGAGCCATTGTGGATCCCTAATGCCATAGTCTACAGTTTTACATAGACAATGCTTTATTGCAAGTATGTACATGATATATAACTAAAGTTTACGTAAATAAGTTTGAGCTTCCCGGTCAAATTACACATTCTGTTGATGTTCTAAGTAAAAATAATTCAACACTAATATAAATAAAATTAATATACAACAGAATTGCTTGGTAAGTTGGCCTGTACTTATTTGAATGTTGTGGGTATTGATGTGTTTCTATGCATCATATACTACAAGTAACTAAAGCTAATAGGTGAATTCCAATTTTAGGCTAATGATTTTGTTACTGTCTTTAAAGTTATTATATGTGTAAAATGTATTAAATGCCACTTGGTGGTGTACAAAAGAGTTGGTGGTCTAGTTATTATATGTAGAATACTAAACAATGACTAAACTACAACTACTACTAACACTACAACTACTACTGACAGTAGTTAAAGGGGAATTCCACTGATTTTTCAAAATTTCTGTATAATTCAGTGTGTGAGATGTAAACAGAGTGATTCAGAGTGGTTTGGTGTGAAATGGTTCAGATGTCTTTACAATGGTGGTGATAGGAACCAGGGGTCGCCATGACTACAACACAGATATAGACATTTTATTTACTATCCAAAACAAACCAGTGAACCTACACGAGTCTTCTGAGTTTATATGGAATGTTGATGATGGAAAATAGTGGAAAATCTGAAATAATAAGACCAAAATCTTCTCAAATTTATCGTAAAACAACGTCTCAGTCATCAGTCAGTGTATTCATAATGTAGTAACTTTCTGCGAGGGAGCTTTTAGAGGTGGACGTCTGGTTCCTATCACCACCACTGTGAACAACTATGACTCGGTAAGTTTCTCTAGAAAAGAACATTTCACACCAAATCACTCTGAACGACTCAGTTTACATCTTAGCCATTCAATCATATCGAAAAAAATTTGAAAAGTTGATGGAGTTCCCCTTTAAATACGTTACGCGTTATTTGAACTACATTTCCCATAAAACCCTGTCCGTCAGGAACCAGTGTAAGCAGTTGTTCCGGTGCATCTGAAGGGCATTGAGGGAGCCGGCCCATGTGAGAGTTTCACGGAGTGGATAAAGACACTAAACATGGACAGTTTCGGTTCCGATTACTCCTCCGCAGCGGGTTCGGGGAAGATGGACCCGGGCGCTATAATGGAGCAGGTGAAGGTGCAGATCGCGGTGGCGAACGCGCAGGAGCTCCTACAGGTCAGTTACCTACAGCACAGAGCCGCGCCGCTGTGCTCGCCATCTAACGCTCATTTACCCGTAAATCAGCCTCTGTTTTCTGCTTCACAGCTGTGAGAACACATACAGCACCGCCAGCTCTGCAGGCAGCTTCTTATTCGCCCGCTTCTTGTCCGAACTGTCCCGTTCCACCTTAAATGGGGTTTGCGTTTCTTCTTGTTTCGCAGAGGATGACCGATAAATGCTTCAAGAAGTGCATTGGCAAGCCGGGAAGCACGCTGGACAATTCAGAACAGGTAAAACTCGCAGCCTGTTGTGTTTCCTTTACTACCCACATCCACACAGACCCTCTGTACGGTTAGGTTTGACTGTAGTTCTGTTCCAGTGGGGAAAAAGTAGCAGTACATCTAAAAACAGCTGCACATGTTTACATTACCCATTCATTGTTTTTTTGTGGGCAAAAAATATATTCAAAAATAAGTTTTATATATATAAATCCACCACTGTGAACCCAGGACTGGGCAATATAGCAGTATTTGTCATTATCGAAATAAATGATATCGCAATATGCCAAAATATGCTTCTCTGACTATATTGTGGATATAAGTACATCTACAGCACTGAGAGCGTTATTAGTCCTGTTTATTTGGATTTAGTGGTAAACAGTGTTAAAACATGTATAAACATGCACATGTATATATAAATATATATAAACGTGTATATAAATATATGCATGTCATGTAAATGTGTGTGTGTGTGTGTGTGTGTGTGTATATATATTATATATAGCTGCTGTCAGAAGAAAGCCTCGTTTTTTCATTTTTCAGTTTTTGACATAATTTGAAAATACCTGTTGCCCTTTACATTAATCTGTAAATTTCAAGATGAATGGACTAAAAGAAACGACCCAAAATGACTTGGAAAGACGTCTGGTTCCATTGACTAACATTAAAGTAGAGTAGGTTTTTTCCTTCTCCTGTAAAGTTACCATTTTGGAGATACAAGGTTTGGTCCAGACAGCAGTGATATATAAAAAGTCACGTAAATAAAATGTTTCAATATATTATTATATTATGTATGTATGCATGTGTATATAATATTATATATGTATATATTACATGTGTATGTATGTATGTTTGTGTGTGTGTGTGTATGAGATATATATATATATATATATATATATATATATATATATATATATATACGTATAAAAAATGTGTCATCTATATTTCAATTTTGTGTTAATATTTACTGTTCTGTTTCGCTGTTTCGATCAAAAATTAATTTGCCAGTATTTCACTAATCATATTTATGTTGATTAATATATTTTTATGTATTTAGGCTGAAAGGCTAGTCTGGTTTAAACAACAAAGAATTATACTGAATTAATTGTGATTATGTAGATTTACCAGACTTTATAGAGACTGTTACAGCTCAGCCTGTCACAGTTAACCCCACTAATGTGCTGCGTTGTAACGTCTGAATAGTTCATAAATGGTACGTGTTTGAAACAGAGTTACGTTTCAATTTGTAGCAAAGATGTGTCAGTAATTTGTATAAAAATATGTTAATCTTGCTCAAATAAAAGATTTTTACTAGAGATTAAACTGTGTTAGCCTGAATAAAGTAAATTTGTGTTACTGCTTTTCAGTGCTTTTTACAGCACAGCACTGTTATACTCTCAACAGTAAATAAATGACGAGTCTGATTATGTTTTTGCAGAAATGCATCGCCATGTGTATGGACCGGTATATGGACGCATGGAACACAGTCTCTCGCGCCTATAACGCGAGACTTCAGAGGGAAAGGGCGCGAATGTGATGTGGAATCCGCTCAGCTGGACCTCAGTGTTATCCTGAACCCCTGGGTCTACAGGCATGGGTTGAAAATGCACAGTAAAGTGCTCTGGCCCCGCCTCTTTATCACCCAGCACTTGGAAAGCCATCAGAAATCGGGTGTTTCTGAATTTTAGACTCGAAATATCTTTGGGGACAATTTTTCCTTTCTTTTTTTTTTCCTAGGCATGTTAAAAGTGAGTGGACAGTTGGTATTAATTATGACTTTAATGTAAATCACGTGATGACAGTAATGACAGGCAAAATTCAGTAACCGCATTTAAAACTGAGCTATGACTGATTCAATGTTTGAGAATCAACTTTATCTTGTGAATAAAGTTCTAGTGAAAATTGCATTAACTATAAAATGCAAGGTACAAGACAAGTTCGACGCAGTTTTTCTCAATTTTACTGTTGCCATGGTTACTGCCCTTTACATTTGTAGGACAGTACATTGTTCTATCCAGGCTCCACCTACAAATGTGCTTTTTCATAGCCATTGTTGTTGGGCAAGCTTTACAGAATGCTAATAAAAATCTCATACAACCTAATGAGAAACTGTAGAACAGACTCGGTTTATATCACAATACCTACATTTAGGGTTGGTTATTCATTCAGCCTAATGAGAAACTGTAGAACAGACTCGGTTTATATCACAATACCTACATTTAGAGTCGGTTATTCATTCAGCCTAATGAGAAACTGTAGAACAGCCTCAGTTTATATCACAATACCTACATTTAGAGTCGGTTATTCATTCAACCTAATGAGAAACTGTAGAACAGACTCGGTTTATATCACAATACCTACATTTAGAGTCGGTTATTCATTTCAAGTGATATTTATTTGTATGATCTCACACTGTTAAGATGGTTTAGCAAAAAAAATCTAGTTTCCAGTTACTCCAGATGTTGATCGGTCAAAAAAATGTTTGGTGTCCAAATAGCGCTGGAGCTACAAAGCTAATATTTCTGACAAACACTGGAGTCAATAGTCACCCAAATCTTTTCCATTAATATCCTCAAAACCTCTCTTAATTCAGGTCTTCATTAAGGTGTTGATATGGTTCGGCTCCGTGTGACTTACTGAGAGCTATAAAAATGACCAAAACTTCACTGTGTAGCTGACAACCACTTCAGACAACAGGTGTTGAGCCAAATCCGACTCTCCATCGCATACAGGCACGTCACACAGGTGTGTGGACGCTAGATTATGTTTGCAGTTTCTTTTGTTTCTGTTTATAAACGTGTATATACATAATGTTAAAACTCAAGATTAATAGTTTTATGAAAAGAAATAATTGCAAATGTAATCCTCCATGTTCACGTGCACGTGAAGGTGGTTGGGAAGTGGCTGCAAGCAGCGCTCAGCTACACGGTGGTGTTTTTTTTTTTTATTATTATTTTTACAGCTCGCAGTGACCCTGTTTACACCTCGCATTAACATGTGTTTCCTGTCCAGATCGTATCTGGATAAACTTTAACCAGACTGTATTTCACAAAAATGTGTTCTCAGTTTGACCAGATGAGATTCGATCGTACTTTTGCCGCGATAAACTCAAATCAGCACCAGTCGCTTCTGTTTTGTTTACTCTTTTCTCGAGTCAACAGGCTCAGCCTGGACACTTTCAACAGCTCCTCAGTTTGGGGGACTTCAGCCTCGTATTTCCTCCACATTTTTTTTTTATAATCTCACCTGCAGGTCGGCGCTCGGCAGACGCCTTTCAACTCATGTAATTATACACAGTTAATGAAAACTGAAGCTGAACGATTAATCGTTTCTATATTGAAATCACAATTTGAAAGAGTGGGATTTTTAAATCGCAAGAGCTGCAATTTTTATTATATAATACATTAACAGTGTTGTTGCAAGTTTTAAATGGAAAAATGGTAGATGAGCTGGACCAATCAGAAGCTACAAAACACCCATGTTCTGTATATGTGACATCGCAACTAACTGGTAGTCTGACACACTCAGCGTTTAAGCTTCATGCCAGAAAAAGATATTCTGGTCTTCTTGGGCAAAAAAAAACAAGCCTGGAAATTAATTCATTTATAGAAAATTACTACATTTAAATCACAGTATTGGTCAGAAAAATCGCAATTATGTATTTTCCCCAAATCGTTCAGCCCTGAAGAAAACGCATTCCATTCACACCTCTGTTAAACGTGGTCAAGATCCGTCTATGAGCACCCTCAAATGTGGTTTGAGTGATCCGATCACAGTGCGTCCTGGGGCGTGTTTACACTTGGCTTTGCATGCAGTCAAGCAAAATCCGATCACCAAAAACATGATGCAGCATGTAAACAGGTACAGTACGTCACACTGCACTCTAAACCACATTGGCAAGTCTGAGTGACCTTAATGATGACCTGGGCCTTTGAGCAGCTTGCGAAGTTTTAGGGATGTATTTTCAGAGATTTGGGTGACTACTGACTTCTAGTGTTTGTTAGCAGTGTTAGCCTTGTAGCAAAGAAGAAAGAAAATTTAGATGCCCAAACATTCCTTAACATTAGCATGATGACAGATTAGTTGTCATTTCCAGCCAGTTTACATTCAGTTAGCCACAACAACACAGCCCAGCTCAGCAGTGTAGCAGTGTAACCTCAAGGACAACAACATGTACCACAGTTTGTCATTCAGTATAATGAAAATCTTGACCATAGTTCTGTAAAACTTGTCCAAACTCGACAGTTGCTAAGAAAGGATGCATTTGTAGGCCGAGCTTGGACAGGATAATCGGGCACCTATTTTAAGTACGTTGAAAGTAAGTCAGTGTTTAAATCCTTTAAATTAGATTTTTGACTTTCCATTTTGTGGTAATGTCAGTTTTCCATTGATTCGACTGAGCCGACTGTGTCCGTGCTCTAGTTTGCCCTGTGTTAAATGTAGTCAAGATCCCTCTTTTGACCACCCACAAATGGGGTTTGAATGATCCAATCAGTCCAATCACAGTGCGTTCTAGGGGTGTTTACACTGGGCCTTTCATGCGGTCAAGCAAAATCCAAATGTGATCCAGTCAGCTTGATGCAACATGTAAACGGACACAGTAAGTTACACTGCGCTCTAAACCACATCAACAAGTCTGAGTGGCCTTAATGACAGCCTGGATTTTGGGGATGCATTTTCAGAAAACATTTGGGCGACTACTGACTTCTAGTGTTTGTTAGCAGTGTTAGCCTTGTAGCACAAGAACATTTTGATGCCTAAACATTCCTTAACATTCCTTAACATTAACATGATGTTAAACTTGTTACCGTTTCCAACCAGGCTACATTCAATTAGCCACAACAACACAGCCCAGCTCAGCGGTGTAGCAGTGTAACCTCAAGGACAACAACATGTACCACAGTTTGTCATTCAGTAATAATAATGAAAATCTTGACCATAGTTCTGTAAAACTTGTCCAAACTCGACAGTTGCTAAGAAAGGATGCATTTGTAGGCCGAGCTTGGACAGGATAATCGAGCAGCTACTTTAAGTGAGTTGAAAGTAAGTCAGTGTTTAAATCCTTTAAATTAGATTTTTGACTTTTCGTTTTGTGGTAATGTCAGTTTTCCATTGATTCGACTGAGCCGACTGTGTCCGTGTTCCATGTGTCCGTGCTTTAGTTTGCCTTGTCCTCGTGTGGATGCTGCGCTGCTCCCCTGGGGGCGCGGAACCGTCTCGTTTTTCTATCCTCCGCTCCACAAACCTACTTCCTTTCACAAGAGAGAATTCAGCAGCATCTCTCTTTCCATAATCGTAGCCTCTTCAGCAGGACCAGGCCAAACAGTCCTACTTTATTTACCTCCGCAGAACAAAATGCATTTGTGGAAGCTGGATTCTCGTTTGTCACACTATCTCCCGGCTACAGTAGCGGGTTTGTTCAAACACCGATTGCTGTGCCGCACGCCCTGCAATAAAAGCAGCTTACATTGTGAACGAAGCATGTCAGATTTCTGGGAAAGTTTTTTTTCCCTCCATCAACCTTTTCAATGTTTCACAGGAGAAAAAAAACCAGCTCTCAGCTGCTGCTCAGAGATTGATGTCCCAAAGTGTTCTGGGTGATTGTGACTATTTTGTCATTAAATGTAGTTGAATATACATGGGTCATTCTACAGAAACGTCCATTTTTGTGTCCCTAGCGTTTACAGATATATTACACTTCAAAAACATGTTAGAGTTACAATTTATTTATATTTTAAAATAAAGCAATAGGTTATTTTAACAGTTACACCTTCTTGAGCCTCAATTTAGTAATATTGGTTTTTAAATGAATTATCTAGAATTCTGAGCACCACAGAAGAGCTCGTCCCCGCAGTCATGTGTGAAGGCTGAGAAAAACATGTGAAAAACATGTTTTTCTGCAATTTTAACTGCAATAATCTATACATGACTATGGAATATATGATTTAAATGATAAAGAAAACAAATGCCAAATAAATCTAAAATGTATAATGAAAGCTGTGGTCCCCAGGAGTCGTGTCACTGGTGTTACTGTGCAATAAAAAATCTCTTATTTTGTAATAAAAGTCACACTGATGACATCACTTGACTTCCGTTTACCTGTTTTCTGAGGATCTATGAAGAAAAGCTCATGGTGAGTCCACTGAGTCTTTCAGTTATCAGAGATTTTCTCATTTAGCTCATGATTTCATATGAAGCTTTTAGCTGAAGTCACTGGTGTGACCGACTTTATTCTGAGGTCATTGTGAAAAAATAGAACACAAATGGATTAAATTACATATTTTAGTGGACATTCCATGACTGACAACATGTGGTTTGATGCTCTGTAGCAGCCATTTTGTAAAATGCGTTGTTCATTAAAATGTCTCTGGTGTTCCTTTATTATGTGTAACACCAATGAGGATCGGTAACACCAGTGACTCCTATGGAGAGATAGAAAAGTGGACGTTTCTGTAGAGTGACCCACATGTAGATGTGTTAGTTTGATTTTTTTTTAGTAACCGGTGTTCAGTGTCAGCCGGTCAGCGTGCGTGAGCAGCTCACTGTCCAGTTAGAAAAATCAGAGTGTAAACAGCACCTTTTATAGGGAAATTGTACTTTACAATATGTTAGTGTAGTAGTAAATCAGTCACAGTGTGCGGGACCCTCAAAAAGCTTGGGATCACCATTTTCAATAATAACACCAGTTTGCAGATTCAGTTATAAAATGATTGCAGTCTGCTCCTCTGTTCAGTTTCAGAGCTTTCAGGTAACAATCAGTAGGACAGTAAGAAGCTGTAATTAAAAACCAATGAACGTTAGATGAGTCCAGAATGATTAATAGAACTGCAGAAGATTCTGTCATGACTGAGAAACCTGTAGAACATCAAGATTTAAGTTATAAAAATATTTTATTAAATTATTAAAAATTATATCCAGAATTGATCATATTTCAGAAGTGGAGATCAAATCACAAGACAGATAATTTGACAAAAAAATATAAGTATACAGTTTATTAGTCATCATAACTTCATAATTTTTTGTAATAGTCATCATTATTGTTTATGTCTTATCAAAATAGTGATTAAAACACAGAAAAATACCTTTTGGCAAATAGTTAGTA